GCTGGTTAAACTGCAAATTCGTTTTTATCTCCTGTATTTCTCTGGTCATGTCGTCAAATCTCTTGTCATGTCGTCAAATCTCTTTTTGTCTCCATAATTAGTTGCACGAAGCTTTTGAAGTTTTCCTGCTGTTGGTTCATCAGCGCGATGTACATCTGTTTCTGGTTATCCACAATGTCCATTACTTGCTCCGCTCTGTGATACATTTCTTCTGCCTCCATATCCTCATTCGCTTCTGATTTATTAGCTCTTCTCCCTCTTTGAGGCATTTTAATAGTTGTAGAGTTTGTTCAAAGACTTGAAAGTGTAGAACAGACAAGAGGAGCAGTAAAGACGTGCGCTCTCGCTTGCAACCCGGAAGAAACGACAAACAAACATTAATTGTAGTCGCTGCAGAGTTATATGAATTTAAAGATGAACTAACCGCTGCACATGGAAATGAAAGTGATTCTTTGAGCAGCAGCTAGAGAAGAGTTCTGTTTCTGAGTGTTGATTAGCATCAACACGGAGATTTGTGGATTAAATGATAGACTCGTTCTCAACAGGCTGTATGATGAGAGGTAAAGGTAATGATCAGTTTGTTGGTATCCCATGTGTCTGACTCACCTGGCCAACAGCCTGCTGAGCAGCTGTCTCTCCTCCTCGCTGTAGCCTGGCCAGTCCCTCTGCACATGCTTGTAGAAGTCATCTTTCAGCAGGTAGCTGCTGTCTTTTGGATTTACTTTTGATACCTAAGGTACAATATAACACATATGTTACAGTAAAAGAGTTTTTTGATATTCTACCAAATTAGGACTTGGTAGCAGCTACTACGTATATCTGAATGAAAAATCCTGTCAGACATAAAAACCAACAAAACATTCCTAACGCTGAATGTATTGTGCCACAGCACCACTGTTATGGCAGCATTTTTCTAAACCCCACTATTCATCTGTTAAAATAAAATATACAGTATATCCCACCGACCAGCCACAACATTATGACCACTGGCAGGTGACGTGAATAACATAACTATCTCATTGCAGTGGTACCTGTCAGTGTGTGGTGTACAACAGGCAGCAAGTGAACATTCAGTCCTTGAAGTTGATGTATTGGAAGCAGGAAAAATGGGCAAATGTAAGGATCTGAGAGACTTTGACAAGGGCCAAACTGATGGTTAGACGAATGGGTCAGAGCGTATCCCACACTGCAGGTCATGTTGGGTGTTCCTGGTCTACAGTGGTTAGTACCTACTAACAGTGTCTAAGGAAGGACAAACGAAGAACCAGCAACATGGTCATGGACGCCCAAGGCTCACTGCTTTTTTTTTTTTTTTTTTAAAGATTCCATTTTGTTTGAATCTTTGTTAAAATAGTTGAACATGACAAATACCGTACATTGGCCTCTATGAAGAGAAACAATCAGAGGTTTTAGTGGCGATATCACATCTAGAATGAGGAGGCTGTTGAATTTGTCTAAATTATATTGCAGCTTATCCTCATGACCACAACTTTCATCCCTTTTGCATAGGTTTTTCATTGAACAGTTGACACAGTACAACTATGGAAGCAAACAGATTGACAGAAGATGCACAGTGAGCTGCAGAGTGACACGAGTGCCAACTGACTACCACATTGATTCCTATGTATACAGCAGTGGTTCTCAAAGTGTGGGGTGTGGCCCACTAGTGGGGAATAAAGATATGACAGGTGGGGCGCAATGAACAGAGAAAATTAGAAATGGGTCATTAATAAAAGTAAATTAAAATAACATCAGTTTGGGGCCTGAGAGAAAAAAGCGGAACCATAGTGCAACAATCACAGTTTAACGTCGGCATGTTAACTGCGGCGCAACAATATAAGGAAACGTTCACACAGAGGGCCAATAGTGTACGTAGTGGGCATAATAACGTAAATGGATAAATGTGTTACATGGACCACAAATAAACAGGTGATTCAGCACAAGCAGACAAAGAAACGACAGGCAGAAGCCTTATCAACCCAAAAGCCAGACGAAACGAAAATAGTGATGAAGGATTCACAGTGGGAATGGCGGGGGCAGAGGAGGGACCCGTGTGTGTCTTAAACCGCTGGCAGCAGACAGCATGAGATCCAACCAATTAAGAAGACATTTAGAGACATTATCATTGGTTTAAACCACTCGACTTCTTTGAAAGAAAGTTGGCAGAATACCGTTAGCAGAAAAATCGCACGGTAAAATCCACATCAGTGAACAGCAAAGCACAAATGGCTTCCTTCAAAGTTGCATACAGAATTGGGGGGGGGGGGGTCCGTAAA